CTAGGCAAACCACAAACTAGAAGATAGTCACAAAATATGTATCTTGTAAAGGACACACATCCAGAAGAAAAAGCCAAGTTAAAGGCAGGCAGTAGCAGGGAGAGGAGATGGAGAGTCAATGCTTAACATTCAGAGTTTCTATTTGAGGTGGTGACTATGGTGGCAATGGTTACACAACATTGTGAATGCAACAAATGACACTAAATAGCACACTTAACAATGGTTAAAATGGCAATTTCATGTTATGTGTGTTTTACAATTTTGCAAATTAATAATGTAATGTATGTCCCCAAAATACACACTGGATTTCAAAGACTTTTATAAAAAATAATGTAAAATCTATTAATAATTTTTATACTGATTACATGTTTAACAGCTATTTCAGATTATCTTGAGTTAAATAAAACGTATTTTTTAAATTCTTCAGTGACCATAAGATTTGAACAGGCATTTTCCAAAAGAGGATATCTAAATAGCTAATAAGCAAATGAAAACATGCTCAACACCATTAGCCATCAAGGAATGGAAATCAAATCATCATAAATAGTACTACATGTCCATCAGAATATTCCAAAACACCAAGCACTAATGAGGGAGTGGAGAAACTAGAATGCTTGTGAACTGCTGGTGCGAGTATAAATTGATTTAACCACTTCAGAAAACAGTTCATGAACATTTACTGAAGCTAAACATACAACCACCCAATACCCCAGTGATTCTTCTCCCAAGAGAATACCCAGAAGAAATGAATGTCCACAAGAGGACAAACATAAGATTACTTCTAGCAGCTTCACTTGTAAGAGCCAAAAACTAGAAACAACTCAAATGTCCGTTGACAGAAGAAATGGATGAAAAACTGTGGTACATTCATACAGTGAGAAACTATACAGAAATTTTCAAAAAGAATAAACTACAGCTACACCAGGCAACATGGGTGAATCTCAGTGACTGAGACAAAGAAGCCCGAGGTCAAGGGGCCCCTACTACATGTTCCTCCTGACGCAAAGTCCACGAGGAGACAAAGCACCTGAAGACCACAGAAGAGTGCTTACCCCTGACACGGGTCGGGCACCAACAGGGAAAGAACAGTGGGGAGTTTTCCAGGTTGCTAGAAATGTTCCATGTCTGGATTTGGGCTGTGCTACTTGAGAATAAAAACTACCTATATTTAATACACATGTACTTCATTATGTGCAAGTTAAATCTCAATTTTTTTAAATTAAAAGTTGACATAAAATTCCCCAAATGGGCTCATCTTTGCTACAGAAGGTTACTAACTGGCCCCAGCCTTTTAATATATTTTTATCCTATTAATACTGGCTATCTTAAAAGAATTAACGAAGTAGTCAAAAGCCTGTTCATTATTACTCTGATACCATTTACCACCATGCACAAAAGTCTACCCTTCTGTATTATTTGCCATGTATACTGTCTGGATAGACTGAACAAATCTTACTTAAAAAGTCTATGGTGTTCAATACTTGGAAGCCATCATTAATAGCTTCCTGCTTTCAAGTATAGCTGTATTTTTTTTACTCAGTAAACTCATAAATCATTTGAATCTCTCCTGCCTCTAAAGTTTTCTTAGCAAATTCTGCCTAGAATTTGGGTAATTAATCCTTTGCCGACTGGTGAAATCCTTTGTTGTGATCAGCTGTTATTCAAGTGTTTTATTGACATTTAGCTTCTCTCCATGTGTCTTACCTCCCAATAGCTTGTGCTAGGGATTCAAGAGAACAGAGTTGAAGCTGGTACTTTTAACAGCCACGAGTGCCCTGAATATAACAGTTACTCAATAGTTCATTGAACTGGGAAGAACTATCCCAGGCCATCAACCTCTTTCACACCTAGTCCAAGAATCCTCTCTTCAACACACCCAAAAGGCCATGACAAGAAGCTTCATCTGTAAAACATGCACTTATAACATCCTCTATATCTAGAAATATCTTTCCCTCCATTTCACAGCTGGCTTCACAGTCCTGTAGGAGAAACAAGGCAAGTTTCCCTTTTTTTTTTTAGTAAGTATGGAAACCGAGGCTCAGATTGCTTGAGAGACTTGTCCACGGGTACACAGTGAATGGCTGACACAGAAAGATGACTCCTGGGCTCCAATATCTGGCCATCAGTCTTCCCGCCTGTATTAGTCCGTTCTCACACTGTTATAAAGAACTGCCCAAGATGGGGTAATTTAAAAAGGGAAGTTTCACTGACTCACAGTTCAGCATGGCTGGGGAGGCCTCAGGAAACTTACAGTCACAGTGGAAGAGGAACAGAAAACAAGGCACTTTCTTCACAAGGCAGCAGGAAGGAGAAGGGCCAAACAAAGGGGGAAGAGCCCCTTATAAAACCATCAGATCTTGTAAGCAACTCACTCACTATCACAAGAACAACACGGGGGAACCGCCTCTGTGATTCAGTTACCTCCACTTGGTCTCTCCCTTGACGCGTGGTGATTACGAGAATGATGGAGACTACAGTTCACGATGAGAGGCGGGTGGAAACACAAAGCCTAACCGGACCACCACTGCACTTCTGCCTTCCAAATGACTCCTGGGAAAGTTCAAACAGCTAGTGTCCAACAGTTTCTAAATCCAGAAGGGCATGGTCTACATAGGAGCTCTCCTTCTCAGTGTTCCATCATCCAGAAACAGGTCTTCTGCATTCCTGACAGAAGTGTTAGGCAGGACAAAGTAAGGGACAGAGCCTGGACATGGCCACCAGCACCCCACTGCCCCGACAGCATCTACTAGTACTCCCTAGACAGGCTCAGACGGCATTCCCTATTACAGCACGGGGATAAGTGTTATGCTGAGATTAAGCAGCACTCCCTTAAATTCAAAAGAATAAAAGTAAGTGAGTTAGGCTTGGAATGACCTTTCCTTAACACAAATCTGCTGTCGTCCACTATCGTGTTCTTACGGTGCTTTTCTCTCTTTTTTTTTTTACAGGGTACGTCCCTCCTCTAAGAGACATTTATTCCTCGCACCAACAAACATTAATGGAACGTCTCACAAGTGTTAGACCCCAGAGACACAAACAGAGCAAGACACACTCCCGACTGTAAGCAGATTGCGCGGAAGTGTGGCGGGTCAAGGAGCACATCAGTACGAGGTTCCCCAAAGCTCTGACTTGTCCAAGTTCTCTCCATAGTTCTAGCCGAGGTAAAATGTTGGAAGTCGAGTAAAGCAGGTACAGAGATTCCTCCAGAACTCTGCATGCGTGGCTCCACCCTCCCAGGCCCTACTCCCCGGTAGAGCATCCACCTAGGACGGAGTCCACGTGTGCGCCCCTGTGGCCGGCGGGGCGGGGCGGGGCGTCATGGGCCTCTTACGGTGCTTTTCATTCCTCTCGGCAGCCTCTCCAGGAAGAACCTACCCACACACCAGAAAGAAATCTAGCACTGTGCTGAAAAGTGCTGACCTTGCAAACAGCTCCTAGCTGTTTCCACTCAAAAAAATTGGAAACACATGTCCACACAAAATCCTGTGTGTGCTTGTTCAGAGCATTGTTATTTATTATGGCCAGTAGAAACTCAAATGCCCATCAACTGATGAATGGATAAACAATGTGGTTTTATCCATACAGTGGAATATTATGCAGCCATAAACGGGAATGAAGGTACTGGCTGACAATGTGGATGAATGTCAAAAACATCACACTAAGTCAAGAGCTGACACAAAATGCTGTATACCATATAATTCTGCTTATATGAAATGACTAGAATAGAGAAATCCACAGAAAACCACCCGGGTGGTTGCTGGGGGCTGGAGTTAATGGAGAGTGACTGCTGATGGGTACAGTTTCTTTCTGAGACAATAAAAATGTTCCGAAGTTAGGTAGTGGTGCAGGTTATACAACTCTGTGACTATACCAAGAACCATTATACTATATGCTTTTAGAGGGTGAATTTAATGATATGGAATTACATTGCAATAAAAGTGTCATTAAAAACAAAAAATGGGGTTTTTTTGGCCAGAGCACCAGAAATTTATTAAATCCCCCATTTCCCCCCAAAATATGATCACCCACACTCGGCAAGGGGACAGGGAGGCCCCCAGCCTGATTCGTGCAGCCTGTGTCAGGAGGACCAGGGGTTATCAGGCAGGAGCCAGGCTGTGGGACAGGGGAACATGGAGTGGGCAGGACAGACAAGGTAGTGCAAGGGCAGAGGCTTCTGGCTGGAAGTCCTGGACCCCCAGTATAAAGCAGGGGAAGAAAAGAGGGGGGTTCATGTACAGCAGGCGGGACCCTGAGCCCTGACAGAGGCAGTGTGGGGAAGGGCACGAAGAACACGGAGGATAAAACCAGCCCTCGGGACACGGCTCTGTCCTGGGTCTCAAGGCACACACACGCACGTACACACACACACACACACACACACACAATACAAGATGCTTCTGGCATGAGGGGCAGGGTCCCAGAGACCCCCTTCCTCATTCGAGCTAAAAACTGGGAGAGGCTGAGCAGGGGCTGGGACCAAGACCCACGCTTTACCAGTGGGGTGAATTTTTTGGTTTTTCTCTCCAAAAGGGAAATTTAAAAATCTACACCAAATTCACTAAGTAATAAAAACCCAGCCTCCCTTTCCTCACTTGAGCCTCAGACTGGGCCAGAAAAGCGAAACAATGAATAACAGGTACATGCCCAGGCCGGGTCTCCCCACCCAAATACAAGTCCCAGAGTGGGAAGCTTGGAGCTAGGATGGGGTGCAAAGTCCCAGCCACCAGCCCTGTCTGCTGACTGCCAAGAGCAGAGTGAGGCGGGAGCAGGGTGAGAGAGATCACCCCAGGAGAAAAAGGTTTCCAAAGACAAATTCTAAAAACGTGAGAGATGGGTGTCGATAGCAGAAAGTATCGAAGGGCTTGGTGCTGGGTGAGGCGGCAATGGGGGCTTTTCATTAAAAGTGATAAACACCCAGCCTTTTTTTTTTTTTTTTTTTTCCTGTTGCTTCCTAGTCCAAAGATGATCTTAATAGGAAAAACTCATTTGGCAGAAGCAAGACTCGGCACACAGGCTATCTCCCTCACTCTTCCACGGCCGTACCTGCCCTGTCCTGCCCTCCCCAACCCCACTTTCCGAATAAAATCAGAGGACTATGGGCAGCTGCAGGTCCAAGACGTCGGCGGCTGTGAGTAGCAGCTCCTGCAAGGGCGGACAGTCCGAGATGCTCTCCCCATCACTGGCATTGTCTTGCACCCGCATGGACTCGGGCTGTGCGGTGGATGATGTACTGGATCGTTTTTGCACTCTTCATGGTAGCAGAGATCGTCACCGACATTTTTATCTCCTGGTTCCCTTTCTACTATGAGATCAAGATGGCCTTTGTGCTGTGGCTGCTCTCGCCCTACACCAAGGGCGCCAGCCTGCTTTACCTCAAGTTTGTCCACCCATCCCTGTCCCGCCACGAGAAGGAGATCGACGCATACCTCGTGGAGGCCAAGGAGCGCAGCTACGAGACCATGCTTAGCTTCGGGAAGCGGGGCCTCAACATTGCCGCCTCGGCTGCTGTGCAGGCTGCCAGCAAGAGTCAGGGGGCGCTGGCCGGCAGGCTGCTGAGCTTCTCCATGCAGGACCTGCGCTCCATCCCCGATGCACCCGCTCCTGCCTAACAGGACGCCCTCTACCCAGAGGACCAGGTGCTCCACCGGAGGCCACCCATTGGGTACCGGGACGGGGGCCTGCAGGACAGCAACACGGAGGATGACTGTTGGTCAGATACTGAGGCGGTCCCCCGGATGCCAGCCCGGCCCCGAGAGAAGCCCCTGAGCCGCAGCCAGAGCCTGCGTGTGATCAAGAGGAAGCCACTGGTGCGGGAGGGCACCTCGCGCTCCCTAAAGGTTCGGACGAGGAAAAAGACTGTGCCCTCAGACATGGACAGCTGGGGTCTGCTGCGTCTGGCCCGTTCTTACCTCGTGCCCTGCAGGGCTCTGGGGATATTTGGAGACCTTTGGCTGCCCATCTGGCCTGCCTGCACCGGCCGCTGGGCCCCGCCCTCCTTGCTCCTGCTGATGGTTAAGGGCCGGGAGCAGATGCTGCCAAGGCCGCAGGCAGGATGCACCATGATGTACCAAAGCAGGCTAGGCCAGCACTCTTACTTATGGCCTTGCTCTGCCTCCTCCTTCCCTGGTTGTGGGACCAGAGCCCTCCAGGAACTCCTGCAAATGAAACCAAAAGTCTACCTGGGTGTGTTCATTCCTTCCTGTCCTTCTAAGTACTTGATAGCCTTTCATAAGGCCTGGTGTGTGTATCCTGGTTGTGTGTGTGTGTGTGTGTGTTGGTGAGTGAGGTCAGGTTTGTGAACGTTTTGATAAACAAATACGTAAAGGGGAAAAAAAAAAAAATTGAGGCCGGTGGCGGTGGCTGCGTGCACCGGGACCGCGGCGACTCGCACGAGCGAGGCCGCGACCTGCCGCTCCAGCGCGGGACCAGCAGCGAGGGCGGAGCACGGGGTTCTCTGCGTCAGGAAGCGCGGGTCGGAGCCGTAACTGCCCCAGCCGCGGGGCGAACGCGCCAAGGCCCGCTCCCAAGTCGGCTTCCTCCCCGGGGCCACTTTGCCCCGGGTCTCCCCGTTCTCCAGGTCCTCCGAACTGCAGAGTCGGAGGCCGTGGACGGCAGGCTCTGCCTCAGCCGAGGGACAGCTGAACCGCCCCTCTGCTTCCCGCAACTGCCCCGACCCCCGCCCCCCCGTCCCAGCCCTTGCTTTTTTTTTCATTAGTCATTTATTCAAACAATAATTACGAGGCATGGACCCAGGGACAAACACCGTGCTAAGTGCCGGGAACACACAGACACAGCTTCAGGAATGAACTGGGAAGGTAGGCATGAAATGGATAATTACAAGAGATTCTGATTAAGGTCTGTAAGAACCGAGTGCCTTGCTGAAAATGACCAGAGAAATGGAACTCTGTGTCTGCCTGATGGTGGGGGGCAGGGAGGTTGTGAAAGGCTTGAAGCAAGAGATGACTTGGGCATAGATTTTTAAGAATAAATTACTTACAGAATTAATCAGCCAGGGAAGGGCACTACAAGGAACAGCAGGTACAAAAGGCATGAGGTCACGAAAGGGGGAGGTAGATCCATGCAAAAGTTTGAAGTTTAGCCTGAGTAGCTGTGGAGCATCAGAAACGAAGCGGGAAATGCAGAAGGCGGTACAGACAAAACCATGAAGCAGTTTGTGTGTCAAGCTGAGTGGTTTGAGCTTATTTTCTGAGCCAAAGGTTGTGTAATCAGGTGGCTCTTAGACACAGTTAATGGATCCACATTGTGTTGTATTTCCGTTTGTTTTAAAATATTGAGTTAATATTTAAAACCCAGGAATCTCCCCCACAAAAATCTGATGTTTGGCTTTATTTTTAACATAGAACTTCTGCCAACATGAGGCCTGTTTTTCCACATGGATTTAATCACCTGGGTCTCAGTAGCAGCTGGCTTCCCCACACAGGACATGCATTTGCCACAGTCCCTACCATTCCCTATAGTCTTTCCAGTATGAACAATGAGTATTAGCTGCCATTTATCATTGAGCATGACCTTGTTTTCCTTGTTTTCTCTGTACCCATGTCTCTAGCAAAGATGGGGAAATAAGAGATGGTGAGCCTTCCTGGCTGGGTTTTTTTTTTTTTAATGACACTTTTTTTGCAAACAACACAGTCACTACTGCTCATGACCCCACACAGATGTATTTTTTTATCCAGTGAGTGTTCCCTGGGTTCTTACTATGTGCCAGTACTGGTTTAGGTCCCTCCATTTAAGCAGGATTCCTGAGCACCTCCCTCCACTGTTTAAAACACTTCTACAGCTTGAGTTGAAATATAAATCGGTAGTAGGTGAGCAGAAGGTACTCAATAAATGTTTATGAAATGAATGATCAGCTCCCATGGTTACATGATGAAGTCAGCAAAGTCCAGCGGCTAGTGAAGATAGTTCAGTTAGATATGAGATTAAGTCTGGGGGTTATCACCAACCAGGTATGAACTGAAGTCTAGAAACAGGACAGCAAATAGGCCTCAATTTCCTTACTGGCAAGTGAGAACAGCAGTATCCAGGCCTCACAGGCCTGCAGAGATTCAGTGGAATTGTGTCAGTGTGGATCTTGGCATTGAGTAAAGTGCTACCTCAACAGTTCCGTTCCCTGCCTTCCAGCCTGTCTACCTTGCCACCTCCCTGTGCACACCACACTCCAGTCCCACTGTGTAGCCATGTGCTGTGCCCTCCACCCTCCACCAGGCTAATTCCTACGTCATCTTCAGGGTTCAGTCACCAGTCCTACCTCTGTGAAGTCTTCCTGACTCCCTCTTTCTGCTGCTTTCCCTGCCTCTGGGTGACTCCCCCCCACCGCCCCCAATGCAATTACATCATGTACTGCATGGGGTTTTCCTTGCAAACAGAAACTACACCAGCACCTCTCTGCAATCCCAGTACTTAACAATGTTCTTCACACATCAGTGGTGCTTGATAGTAGGTACTGCCAAAAAAGAAAAAGCACTAGATCAGCGAGACTTGTGTGTGACGGTGTGATATGATGTGTGTGTGCATGCGCGTGCGTGCGTGTGTGTGACACAGAGAAAGATTGATTCTCCTCAATAAATCTCTTTCAGTTTTGGAATACTATTCCAAAACCCTCAATGTAACTTGGCCCAGCACTTCAGTAACCCAAAGAAACTCTACTTCACATCTACATTTACTGAAATTCTTCCTTCGTCAATGCATCGTCTGTATTCACTTGACACAGTGTCTGCATTTAGATACCAGTTAACTGTATCTAAGTAGTCCCTCAGGTCAGTCTACACACCTATTAATGAGAAGCCAATGTCCTTCTGGTTCCAGAAACCACAGCCACTAACTCACTCTAACCGAAGAAAAGGCACACAAGAACAAGGACTTCCCAGCCGATGGCAGCATTTCTGTCGAAAACTATCAAATAAAAACTGGCTGATTAATTTTAGATGACTTCGGAGCATTTAAGGAAAAAACATGAGACTGACATAAAGATTTTAAAACTCATTAGAGCTGGTCTTGAAATCACTGATATATTTAAATTGAAATCTGCTCATTCTGACAGCTTTTCGTTCAGATATGCTACTATGTGTGTGTCACTACGGTTAAGGTTGGGTGAGCACTTCCATTAAAACCTTCACTTTCAGAAGCTTGTAATTTAACAATAAAAATTTGCTCCAGGCTTGACTTTTGCATACAAAAGGTTTCAAATATATATTCTGAAGAATAAAATAAACCTGTCTGAACTGAAAGCTCAGATGCAAAGCACAGATTTCTTGCGTGTGTCTCGGGTTTAGACAAGCTAGAATAAGCTAGGAATTTAGCAGTGAAGACAAACTTTTCTACACCACAAAGCTTCAAAACAGAGAAAGGTTAGTAAAGACATGTTATGAGCAAGATAAACTTAAAACCAATTTATTCCAGAATCCTCAAGATCATCCTCATCTCTCAAACTCTTCACATCCAGTTTGTCACCAAATCCTGTCAATTCTACCTACAGGTGCTTCTCAAGATTCACCAGGCTAACTGGTCTTGTGGCCTCCAAATCTTCCACCTCCCTGCTGTTGAGGCTGTCATTAAGCAAGCAACAAACCAGTGCTGGTCTGACCATGCGTCCCCTGCAGGGTAAGTTCCCAACTGCCTAGCAAGGCTTGCTGAAGGCTCTTTGGGGCCTAGTCCTCTCCCCCTCACTGTGAACAGGCCTTTCTGTTTGATCTTCTTGCCTTTTATATCCAATACAGGGACTCTGCTTTCCAACATTATAGGGAGGTGCTCATATCCAGCTTCAGGTTAATTGCATTAGAAGAAGGATTACATTTTAAAAACACATTTATATTCATTATAGCTCAGCTGCATTCGCAAGTCTATCAGAGAGGGTAGACTGTAAATATGGGAACTGAGGCGCAGGGCATCTGAGTGGCTTCAGCAGGCGTCACACAAGGAGAACTGCTAATGCAGCAGCCACTTCATCCCAACTTTGGCTGGAGCCACAGGAGCTCCAGGCATCCCTGGGAGATTCAGGCGTCAGACTCAGGGGAGCAGGCTCCTGCTGGAAATTCACAACTGGCTTCTCAGCTACAGGGCTGTGCCCTCTGCAAGGCAGAGGTTGCTCTTCTGTACATTCCCTTCTCACTCCCAACTCCAGACTTCTGCTGACCATGTTTCCCCCAACCAGACAACTTTGCCTTTCAAGGCCCACTCAGGTCCCACCTGACTGCCCCATGCTTCACAGAGATCAGACAGCAGAGCACTGCCTCTGTTTACCATTTTTGCTCTTTAAAGAAAACATTTCCTGCTTGTTTTCCTTCTATTTCCAATGATAAACTTCTAGAAGGCAAGGACGTCATGTTGATTTTGTATCTCCTTATAGCACCTATGACTGAACCAAAGGAGAACCATTCAGCAAAACTCATTATGTATATATTCTAAAATATATTTATATAAATATAAAAATTTATATAAATATATGAAATATTTAAATGTTTTATATATTTATATATAAATTAAGTATATTTCATATCACCCCATTTTTTGGAGAATATAGAAAGCACTTTAAAAAAAAAAAAAAGAAAAATACAATAGCCCACGAGAACAAAAACCAGTTATTAGGAGAGCTGCTCCATTAAATCTGCTAAAAGCTGAGGATCTGATAAATTCCCCCCTCACTGTGGATTTCACCTCTCAAAAGACAGAGAAAGAAAGCTCAGCAACACTGACGCTCAGGACCAAAGAGGTCTCTGAGTGGAGTGACAGTACGCTGTCACACCCTCGGCAATCTTCACCTAAGCTGCTCCTCGGAGATCCTCTCAGGTTTAGTGTTCATCCCAGCAGGGGTAAAACCATCATAGAGGGACAAAAGTGTCCAACAGGGGCCTTTGTACAACCTGAGAAAAGTTGTCTGTCTATGAGGCCCCAGCCTGGTGGGGACACAGCATGGGGTGCAGCGGATGGACTGGACCTCACTCCTTTTATGTCTCCTTATAGCATGACTGAACCACAGGACCTAATCAGGCGCTTCTGTGTGCACAGAGGGCTCACCGCCCTCAGAGAGCCTGCCCACATGTGGCTTACACGTGGAGAACAAGGCAGTTGGTTCCCCACTCAACCAACACTGCCTGAGCCCTCCTGTGTGAGGTGCCACCAAGGGGCTCTTTTTGGAATATAAATGGTAGGCTTTTCCTTATACTTAGAACAAACTCAGAGGGCTGGGCTGCCCAGATGGCTGTGCCCCTGCTGTGGCCTCATCAGGGGCTGCCTCCTCCCTGATGAGGCCACAGGCATTTTAAACATTCCCAATCTCTCCGGACCAAAAAACCATGACCTTTAGTGCGCAGATGCCCAGGGAATGAACTCTATGAAGCGACCGTGGAGGGCGCAGCACGCTGACTGAGCACACCGGCTCTACAGCAGATCTGAATGAGCCCCTATCTAGCCACTTCCTGGCTGTGAAACTTCAGGGAGTTTCAGTTCCTCAGTAAAAGAAAAGTAGTCATACTTTCTCACTGGGTTATTAAAAGAATGAAATGTAATACACAGTTTCTGGCTGAGTTTTATCAAATGTTAGTTGTTTGCTGTTTGGCTACTGACTGTTTTATTCATTCAACAGACAATTACGGACACCATCTCTGTGTTAGGCACATTCTAGATGAGAATGAAGCTTAAGTCCTTGTCCTCAGTGGGCTTACATTCAAACTGGGAAGTTGGACAAATGAAAGAATATACAGATGACCCTTGAACCACACGGGTTTTAACTGAGTGGGTCCACTTATACACAGATTTTCTTCCAGATCTGCCACTCCTGAGATAGCAAGGCCCACCCCTTCTTCTCCTCCTCCTCCTCCTCCTTCTACGCCTACTCAATGTGGCAATGATGAAGATGAAGACCTTGATGATAACCCACTCCCACTAATGAACAGGAAATATATTTTCTCTTCCTTATGATTTTCTCCAGCTTACTTTATTGCAAGAATACAGTATAAAATACATTTAGCAGACAACATATGTGTCAATCAACTGTTGGCGTTACTGTATTGCTAAGGCCTCGGGTCAACAGTAGTCACTAGTAGTTAAGTTTCTGGGGAGTTAGAAGTTATATGGATTTCAACTGCATGGGGTATTCAAGAGTCAACTGTACATGCTGACAGGTACTGACCGCCAGGTAAGAGGGGAGCGAATACCCAGGCACATCCCTAAGACACTGAACAACAGCCCAAAGAACGCCCACCAACCAAACACCCTTACATGGACAGGGGCTCCGATGTGGCACAGACCCCATCTGCCTTGGCCAAGCCACCCCTTTGAGCCTCACCTTCTTATTTCCTAAGAGTTACATACCTATACTACAAGGTTATCATGAGGACGAACTGTGAAGCTGGATACGAACACATTTTATAAAGCTCTAAACAAATGCGGGTTATTATTTACATCATGAAAATTTTCTCCAAATGCCACTATTTTCATTTAAAAACAAAAATAAAACATCCTCCTCAAATTTCTCCATAAAAGCAGTCTTCCTTCTCTAAACTCCCATGATTTTTTTTTTTTTTTTTTTTGAGATGTCGTCTCACTCTGAAGCCCAGGCTGGAGTGCAGTGGCACGATCTCAGCTCACTATAACCTCTGCCTCCCTGGTTCACACAATTCTCTTGACTCAGCCTCCTGAATAGCTAGGACTACAGGCGCACGCCAATATGCCTGGCTGATTTTTGTATTTTTAGTAGAGATGGGGTTTCACCATGTTGGCCAGGCTGGTCTTGAACTCCTGACCTCAAGTGATCTGCCTACCTCAGCCTCCCAAAGTGATGGGATTATAGGCGTGAGCCACTGTGCCGGGCCCCATGAGTTTGTTTTTAATCTGTGTCCTGACATATCACTTTTTGCTGAATTAATTATAGATGATTAGAATGTGAACGGACGGAAGACGGGACTTATTCTGATTAACTGTATAAACGTGCACTTCCAAGCAGGTGCCTGACAGAGGTTATGAATGCTTCAGCTGGTGAGTAAAAAGAACTAAAAGAACTCTCATGCTGCAGAAGATGAGAGTCACTCTCCTGCTCTAAAAGCCAGAAACAAAACTATAAGATGAAGGTTACAGGGAGGCCTAGTTTGCCTCTACATAAGGAACTGCTAACTATAGTCTTCTCATGCTGGAAAGGGCTGCCCTGCAAATTCAGATGATGAGTGGGGCCATGACTTCTGGAAGGAGTACACAGCTCCTGTATCAGTGCAGGATTCAGTCCTTGAATGCTAGGCCATCACAGATATCACCTTCTTTACTGCCACACAGCCTGGTTGGCAGACATTCAGACCCTTTCTACAGCGAACCTAAGATTCCAATTTAACCTGGCCAGACTGAGCTACTGGGTCACAAGCTTGAAATCTAAAGTCCTGTTGTTCTGGGGTCCACTGCATCCCACAAAAACATCAGTGGAAAAGCCAAAGCTGGCAGGCTGGGTGCAGAACAGACAAGGGAGGTCAGAGGATCTGCCATTCACAAGGCTATTTCAGAACTATTAGATTACATGGGCACTCTTCTTGGATAATCTGCCCAGCACAAACTTACAGCTAAAATGAATTTCTGTGCTCATTTAGGCAGCACATATACTAAAACTGGAATAATAACAGGAAGATGAGCATGGTACCTGCCCATGGATGACACATAAACTAGTCAAGAGTTCTATTATTTTTGTCCCATGGCATTGTAGGGTAGCCACGGCTAACAGTAATACATTATATAGTCTCAGATAGCAAGGAAGGGGACACTGAATGTTCCTAACACACAGAAATGAAAAATGTTTGAGATGATGATATGCTAATTATCCTGATCTGATCTTACACATTATATGTATCAAAACACCACCCACATGCAGTGGTTCACACCTGTAATCCTAGCATGTTGGGAGGCCAAGGTGGGCGGATTGCTTGAGCTCAGGAGTTAGAGACCAGCCTGGGCAACAAGGTAAAAACTCATCTCTACAAAAAAATATATAAAAATTAGCCAGGCATGGTGGTACACACAGAGGTGGGAAGATGGCTTAAGCCTGGAAGGCAGAGGCTACAGTGAGCCCAGACAGAGCCACTGCACTCCAGCCTGGGTAAAAGAGCCAGACTTCAAAGAACATGTTTTTAACAATCTTGAAAAAATGAAAAAATAAGAGAAGGAAAGTTTTAAAAACTTCCATCATGGTAAAAGATATGGTCCACCTGGAGTGGACTCTAAGCCCGTAAGGACTCAAGTTAAGCAAAAAATATTCAAAAATAGTGTTCAGGCCGTATCAATTCCAGTAAAGGTGATAATATGATGCAAATGTGGAAAGCTATCTAAGCCTCCTTTGCAAATATCCCAGCTGAATACCTGCAGCCAAGACTCAGCAATACTTGGGCTCTCAAATTCGAAGAAGTCAAGAAGACTGGACCTGAACGTGGTCTAATCAACGGCACCTTATAAACTAACGGCAACAGAATGTGCTATGCCCTCACTCTCTGTCTACAAAGCACCACCATTTCTGTGAAGGCAATCATTTTACCAATTCACTATAAATTCACTCAAGTTCAACTAGTTAAGCCACTTGACATTAAAATGCAGTAGGGGTGAAAAGTCACAACGGTGCTTCCACACTGGGCTGCTGAGAGGTCCCAGACTCTGATCAAAGTTCCATATTAATAATAACTGATGTCCTGGAGGTTCCTCTACCCCTTCCCCCGTTTCATGCGTTTATCACCTCTGTTTCTTCCCTGAGAGTAGATGATCACTACAAAGGGAGGCCATGGGATGGTTGCAGTCGAAATCATTTAGATCATAAGAAATGACAAAAACAGCAAAGTTCTTCAGGGTCACCAGTGTGGGTACACCAATATTAACAAACGTGAGTGATTACAAATGTGTTTAACATGGAAGTGTTCTCATAGGGTACTTATTCAGGGTCACCTCAAAAATATTAGCAGGTTCCTTCTTCTATCACACAGATTAAAAATAAGGCTTAAAAATTCTGTCCCAGAGGATAGGGAATCTACCCAGCGAAGATCTTAGGTTTTGTTTTAAAGCAGGTGTCAAAAAGGAATTTTTTGAAGTTTCTTTTGTTTGTAAATTCTAGGGATTTTCACAAAGTTCTTATTGATCAGACTTGTAGGGAAGACCCAGGATGAGTAAAGCTGGGGCTGGAGTGGGGGAGAGGACTCACAGAAAAGGACAGGCCTGTGGAGACAGAAGAGACAGAGAGCAGAAACTGTGTCAAGGGTCAGACAGGTCTGAGCTTCTGCCTTGACTGGGCTGCTCAGTGGCTCTGGCGAGCTTTCCTGTTCCTACACCTGCCTCTTTGCTTATAAAATAGGGACAATGCCCAGCTCTGGAAGAATGATGAGGGTTAGGAAGCCTCTGTCAGGGCCCTCGGCCCACCACTGGCATTTGGAGGTGCCAATCAACACTGTCTTAGGAGGAAGCCCTGCATTTCTGGCCTCTATTCTGACTTCTCGGTACACAAATTAAAATATCAGTGACAGCCTAGACCTGGTATTAGAGGTTTCTTCTAATTTGATTAATTGTGTCTCAGATTATTCTAGGAAGGTGTAGTTCCAGACACCTCCTTATATAAGACCAGAAAGTAAGAAAAGTCTCACAGTGCTCAGCACATAGCAGGCATTGCCATACATGGTCCCTTTTTTCCTTTCTTGGTTAGGATGCCAGCCCCAAGTCCCATCAATTGGGACTCCATGGTAAGTGTTTGCCCTTTAAGTCTGTTTTCCGTGCCCCTATGGGTGCCTCTACTCCCAGGCAAACACCTGGGTCACAGGTAAAGTGCAAAGCTGGGGACAATGTGCATCACTTTGCTGGACATCAGTTCCCAAACTGATTGACAAAAGCAAAAGTTTTCCTAAAGGGGCCAAGGACCACAGTTAGGTAAAGAGAAAAGGAGGAGGAGGAAGGCCACGGTTTAGCAGGAGGGCTTCCAGTGAGAAGGGTCGGCGAGGAAGACAAAGCAGAAGCATCACCAGTCCCCAGGGCAGGCTGGAGGTGCCGGCATCTGACCTGGGAACTCGCAGCTGCCTCAGGTGGACACCCCAGTGTACTCTACGGGCACCCTCCCCCAGACTCGAAGGCAGGGACACACACCACCAAGAAGATGCCGGGCAGAACCCTAAAGACAGAGAAAAAGCATTTCATTTCTTTCTTTCCTTTTTTTTTTAAAAGACAGAGTCTCACTCTGTCGCCCAAGCTGGAGTGCAATGGTGCAATCTCGGCTCACTGCAACCTCCGCCTCTCGGGTTCAAGCAATTCTTGTGCCTCAGCCTCCCAAAAAGCTGGAACTACAGGAACATGCCACCATGCCTGGCTAATTTTTGTATTTTTTGGTAGAGACAGGGATTCACCCTGTTGGTCAGGCTGATCTCGAACTCCTGACCTCAGGTGATCCGCCCACCTCGGCCTCCCAAAGTGCTGGGATTACAGGCGTGAGCCACTGTACTCGGCCCATTTCATTTCTTCAGTCCTCCAAAAGCCACTGGAACTAAAGATAGACAAAATAGAAAAAATGAAGAGCACTAAATTCTCAGAAGGTGAAGCCTCCATGTGATCTATAACATGTACAAAACAAGAACACAGTTAAAAGCGCAGATTTTTTGATTGACATATCTACAGTTTTCATTTATGGAAATGATGAAATGAGATACATATTTAGAATGAGTAATTTACAAAATTGGAAACCTTAAGTAGGACACAATGAAGACAGTGCTTACACATTTAACACAAATTACGATCAAGGTCAGCTGTCAGGAACAGGCAAGGACACGGGTCAGGGTGTTTCACCAAGACAGCCAGCCGCCCTACCAGACTTTATAAAGGCACCAGCAACTCTCCAGAGACCAGGCAAGCCTGGACTGATGTCCTAAGTCCTAGTTTTTTCAGTTTTCATATCACTAGAAGTTGAATTGGTAAGGATAACAATAAAAAGAAAATAGAGCACAACCAGCTCCTCACAGCTTGGGGGAAGAAAGCAAATAGGCTTATCACTTCCTCTAAGAACAAGTATCTTTCAGTCTCAACACAGAGTAAAAGTAAGAGCTGGAGCAATCTCCTTTAGGGAGCTGAGGAGACTGCCAGCAGGCTCGCAGGCTGGCCTAACAAGCACGCAGTCCTCAGCCTGCAGGGTCATGCCCCGTGAAATACCAGCTCAAGAGGGGAGATTTTAAACAAGATTGCTCTGCCCTTAAAACTAGACTATTTCTTTGTCCCCAAATTAAGATCAGAAACAACTTTAAAGACTAGGATAGTAGTCCGCTGAGCCCATGGCTAGGAGCACAGGCTCTGGGTCTAGCAGCTCTCAGCAGTTTCGGCCCCCTTCTCATGCAGTGTCTTCCATTTGCAGCCACGGGTTTCCTATGATGTGTAAGAGAGCCACTCCCACAGAATGGTTCCATGGGCACACTGTGAAGAATGCCGCTTACACTGGAAAAGTCCACCAGCCAACCCAGATGAACAACCCGAAAACAGACATCATTCTTTCCCTTCTATGCCCCATAATATATGCCCAGTTCCCATGACCATAGAATGCAAAAATTCAATCTAGATTCACTACTCATCACCCTCAACACCTCCAGCCTACGAAACTGGCCACCTCGCACCCTCACCATCATCTCTGACTCTATTCCATCCCTAGCTCCAACCCCTCTGTCAGCAGATGCAATGTTACCATGAAGTTGGCTGAGAACAAAAAATGCCACATATGGAACAGGTTTGCTTCTAGGGAAACATTTAAGTGAAAACGAGGTCAGGAAAATGGCAAGTAGGAGGCAGTGGCCACGGCCACTCTTTGAACTCTGAGGCCAAGTGAACTTTATAAATGATCTGCTGTGTTATCAATTTTAGCAATTTTTTAAGTACCTCCATGCATTTAACTTTACAGCATATACTGCATAAGACACATTCTCAAATTATACATGATGAGGAAATCAGGTCTCTTTTACTTGAAGAGCCATCTAAAATAATTTTTGTATCAAATAAATTATATAGTAATATATAATCTATCAAATAAAATAAATATCCATGAGTCCATACTGATATGCACAGCTGAATAAATAATTAATGTGGAAGAAGGGACAGCTCTTCCTTTTAGTAAAACTCCAATGAATACATGCAGAAGAAATAACAGAGACAGAAAATCACCACTTGGCAAACACTACCATAGTAACTACTACAGACAAAAATCATGATAGATACAAAAACCAGTGGATGAAAAGATGGGGAGAAACAGGACATTTGCATAGTCTCAAAGAATCTTTCTATAAGGTATTCATTCATTATAACAGAAAAATAGTAACTTCTGATGGAAAAACCAAAAAGACATATTGATTCATGTCTTCCCTGAGAAGGACACAACTTCACTTCCATGGTATTGTTGCCCAAAATGCATAATCTCAGTCTAAACATGATAAAATATCAAACAAATGTATACTGAGGGACTTCTACAAAGTAACCGCCAGGCCAGCAGTATTCTACAAAAGTCTCAGCGTCATGAAAGACAAGGAGAGACCAAGGAACCATCCCAGGCTGAACGTGATTGGAGAAGATCTGACAACTAAATGCAATATGGGCAGGAAGAAAGGGCATTAGTGCTAGGACAACAGGTGAAATTCAAACAAGGTCTGCAGATTGTTAACAGTACCGTACAAGGTTGAGTTCCTGGTTTAGATCATTATACTGTAGGCTGTGTAAGATGTTACCTTTAAGTGAAGTTAGGTGAAGTGTATACAGGAGTTCTGTGAATGAATTTTGCAACTTTTTTGTAAGTCTACAATTATTCAAAAATAAAAAGTTAAAAAAAAAAAAAAAAACGACTGCATATCCCCAGAAATACTAGTCCCTAGCCCTGGTGTGACACCTCACACTTAAGAGGAATCAACAGAATGGAAGAAGCTGAATAGGGAGAGAAGCCCCATGCCAACTAAGAGTGACAATTTGGAATACAATCTGTGCGTAAACTGGGACACTCCTGTACCCAACCTCTGCCACCACAGAAGTCAAAGTTATATAAAGCATATGCGTATTTTCCCTTACAGTGCTGAAGGACACGTAGCTATATACAGTGTATGCTACTGCGTGTCTAAACTCTTTCTGTAAATGTCAGGGCCTTGGGATCTTTAAGTTGATGCCCAGAGGTTTTCATTTTAACTTGGTACACATTCCTGAAGGCCTTATGTATCACCAGATTTCTAAATGTAGATGAGAGCTTTATGAAAACATAGGCTAAATACATCTCTGGAAATTCACATCTTGTGCTATTCTTGTGTAGCTCTATCAGAGACAAGTAGAACAGCGGGAAATGTTTGTATTTAGCCACAACTGCCACAGGATGCCAAGAACCAAAAGTGACATCTTCCTCTGCCTCTTGGCGGGCCCTATTTTCAGAGACAGGCTGCAGCAACAGTAAGTTGTGAACATGGCTGCTTGCCTCTTCTGCCACTCAGCCCTGGGGCTAGGTAGGAGTTGCCTATTCGAGGAAGATGGCCAACTTGAAATTGCCTTACTCCATCCTGAAGCATAAGGCAGGAAAAGGGGGGAGGCTGCTGCAATGGATGCTTGCCTTGAAACAAAATTCATGGCATTTGATGCACAAATGAGTCTCTCCCTCTCCATACCTCCCCCTGCATCTCTCAAATGGTTGGATCAACACAAAAGAAGAAATCCAAGTAAGGTGTGACAAATCACTTAAGTGACGAGAACAACTGAAAAATAGTAGTAATCAATTTAATAGATATGCCTCTGTTCTGTTAAACCCTGTATGCTTCCTTTTACTTAAAAAGCATTACATTCAATCTCAACAACATAGAAAAATCTACATGTCTCTAAGATAAGCTAATCTTCAGACAAGCTGGCACCCCACGTCACAGCACCAGGCCCATTACATGGCACTGATTACCAATTAAACAAGCAGTTCATTCACAGGGTCTGTCAATTTCTTTTTAACTGACATAAGTGAAAAACATCTGAGCTAATCATTCAACTTTGTTCAGGTAAGTAACATCTGATAGGCTATGCTCCACTTTCACACAATTATACTACTTCAAAGTTGGATTTAAGCCAAACCCTACTTTTCCACTGATTTCTATCACAAAACTGGTCATCCATTTCCATGCAAAAGTCTGAACTTAGAGCTGAACTTTGGTATGTTCTGGTCTGCTAGGATTTTTATAGGGTTAAAGTTGCAACAGTTTTAAATGCCAAATCCAGCTTTCCATCATGAGCCCTCTCTTCTTCCCTGGCCTCTGTTTCACAAACTGACATAAATTTTAGCCCCATTTCATACAAGCCTCTTCTGGCCTTTGGCTCAGCCACAATTTCTAAACTTAGCTTCTGGAGTTTGGACATTGACATTCGTCAATCATCAAGTTGCAGTATGATGTTTCACCAGCAGGTGCTTCATCTTTTTTCTTTTCCTATTTTTTTTTTTTTGAGACAGGGTCTCACTCTGTCACTTAGGCTAGAGGGCAGTGGCATGATCATGGCTCAATGCAGCCTCAACTTCCTATGTTCAAGTGATACTCCTGCCTCAGCCTCCCAAGTAGCCGGGACTATAAGCGTGTGCCACCATGCCTAGCTAGTTTTTGCATTTTTAGTAGAGATGGGATTTTGCCATGTTGCCCAGGCTGGTCTTGAACTCCGCGGTTCAAGTCATCCTCCCATCTCAGACTCCCAAAGTGCTGGGATTATTATAGGCATCAGGTGCTGTATCTCAATACAAGGAATGCTCTCAAAATTCCTGGAGCTTGAGGCTTCTGGCTACCCACACTATCACCTGTTGAACACCTGAAGGATACATACAGTGTATGTCAAACATCTCATGAAGGAGATGCCAAGAAAATGTTTGACATACACTGTATGTATCCTTCAGGTATTCATACAGGTGTTTTACATTTTACAATGTAAAACCTGAAAGAACTCCTCAAAACTTGTAAAGCCCAAGCCCCTACCACACAGATGAGGAAGAGCAGGGGCCCAGAAAGACTTTTTTTTTTTTTTTCTGAGATAGGGTCTTGCTCTGTCACCCAGGTTGGAGTGCAGTGGCGCAATCTCGGCTCACTACAACCTCCACCTCCTGGGTTCAAGCAATTCTCCTGCCTCAGCCTCCCATAGAGCTGAGATTACAGGCACACACCACATGCCCAGCTACTTTTTGTAATTTTTGTAGAGATGGGATTTCACTATGTTGGCCAGGCTGGTCTCAAACTCCTGACCTTGTGATCTGCCCGCCTCGGCCTCCCAAAGTTCTAGGATTACAGGTGTGAGCCACTGTGCCTGGCCCAAGACTTTGTTTTAAACAAGCTATAAAAACAAGTTAAAGACAGAAGGCAATCTGAACTAAGTGCCCATACTAAAAGGTCCTGGATCAAGGGAATATGCTGGGAGGACAGAGCACAGGAGATTATATTTCTAGTTTTTAGGCAACCACCCACCAAAGAAAGAAAAACAATAAATGAAAAATGCAATACAGAGAAATCTACATGAAGAAATTTACGAATACCAGAAGTTAGTACTGGTGCTTTTAGAATTAAAAACCCTAAAGCCTGAAGCAAGCTGTAAGGATGAATGGACTATTGTCACTTCTCCATGCTCCTCTCCCAAAAACCAGGATCACCACTGGGGATGCACAGAACTGAACTGTGCTTGCTGTCATTTCCAAAGTACCCAGAGACAGGGGCTGCAAGCCACAGCCTGTAGACCTCCAAGTCAGCAGGCAGATTGGAAAAAAAAAAACAGGTTTCAATTCAGATGCAGAGTTTGGTACAGGCCCCCAAGAAAATTATTTTAAATGGGAAATCACAGATAAAAATTGCAAATGAGGTTCTTGAATTCAGAGCACCCCACCAAATGATTGGCAAATGTTTGTGATGTAGTACACACGTGCATTTCTCTGAGGAGAGGATCCCCATGACCCTGGAAACGGTTAACAGCCTCAACGCCAAAAACAGAAAAAACTGAGAGCAGGTCACAGTAACGGAAATATGAACTGGGGACTGCTGTAATAATCCCCTCTGTCTCCCTGAGTGACAATGCACTGATGAAGTGACCTACTAAAAGGAGCAAAGGCCTAACGTGTGATCCTGGAAAAGCATGGGAAAGATATACGGTTTGGTACTGAGATGAGAAAATATGACACTCATAAAACAAAAGCAATGCAATGTTTACATTTGTGTTCACTCCAACTTACTAAGACTTTTAGAAGTAATGAGAACATTCTAAAACTAGAAAAAAAGCTAGACTCAAAAGACAATTTTTTCAAAAGATAACTTTTGCTTAAGCTGTTTTGCTTTGTCATGAACCCTCATTCAAAAGCTCTTAGTCCACAGCCTATTCCTTCCTAACTGTCACAGCAGTGCACCTCATTCTAGGCTGTCTGCAGCTCCTATTCCAACAGGAACTTATTTTAAATCATTAGTTAAGAAATTTTCTACAAAAGCTCATTATTGGCCGGGTGCAGTGGCTCATGCCTGTAATCCCAGCACTTTGGGAGGCCAAAGTGGACAGATCACTTGAGGTTGGGAGTTCGAGACCAGCCTGCCCAACATGGTGAAACCCCCGTCTCTACTAAAAATACAAAAAATTAGCCAGGCATGGTGGTGGGCGCCTGAATTCCCAGCTACTAGGGAGGTAGAGGCAGGAGAATTTCTTAAAGCCAGGAGAGAGGTAGAGGTTGCAGTGAGCTGAGATCATGCCACTGCACTCTAGCCTAGGTGACAGAGCAAAACCCCACCTCAAAAAAAAAAACAAAGCTCATTGTTATATATTTTTAATATGTAATTATCCCTTCTGCTGCTTAGTTTTAAATCAATGCTAAGTGACTGTCATTTTCTTCTTCTGAAAAAGAACCACACCTGAACTGCCCACATGATCAGCTTAATGGTACTTACTACAGGTAAAGCTGCGCTTTTCACACTGACGCGTGAGACAACCCACGGTCTTAGGTGAAGGCACAGTTACTTTCCTACAATACCCATCTTATTTGATAGTAAGTCACTTAACATGAACAATAAAACTATAGCAAACATTATCATTTGCACGAATTTTTAAGACTTAAAAACACAAGTCCAAACACCAATAATAAAAACATGAATCTTCAAGCAATTTTTTTTTTTAAGATAGAATCTTGCTCTGTGGCCCAAGCTGGAATGCAATGATGTGACCATAGCTCACTACAGCCTTGATCTCTTAGGCTCATGTCAACCACCCACTTCAGCCTCCCGAGGAGCTGGGACTACAGGTGCATGCTACTACACCGGGCTAATTTTTTGTAGAGATGGGTTGTCCAGGCTTGACAGCAATTTTGAGCTTGTGATGAGTCACTATGGGTTTAGTCCCTAGCCTTGCAGGAACATTCATTATCTTTGGCCACCAGGAGTTTTGTTTTAGTAGAAAACGCTAAGAAAAATGCAAGATATTGTAGGGACAGAAAGAGAAGTAATTTAAAACAAAATAAAACCAAGTAACATGGCCTGAGGGTCAAAACACAAAATGATAACAGCATAAATAGAGCATTTCTACAAGAAGCACTGTGTACTAGGCACTGTACTAAAGGCCTCACATGGATCAACTCACTTTGCTCGCTCGGCAACCCTGGGCGTCAGGCACTCTATTAGTCCCCTTTACGGATACGGGAAGGAAAGCACGGAGTCAGGCCCAAAATCACTGCTAAGTGGTGCCTCGAGGATTTTAGACCTAGTAGGCTGGCTCCAGGGCCCACCCTCTCAGTTACCAAGCTGCACTTTGCTCAGGGAGCTTCATCCCACCACTGCCACAGTTTCCCACAGGAAAACCACAGGTGCGATAGCCTGGCACCAGGCTAGTTGCTTTGATAAACAATAGTCAAACTAAAAAAACAGGTCTTCATATTTTTATCTTACAGATCAGATCAGGAAACAAACTCAGAGAAGTAAAGCAACCAATTCCAAATTATATTTAATTCCAAATTATACATAAATAGCAAATGAGCTATAGAATACAGGTTTGTCTTACTACAAAGCGCGCGCTCTTTCCACGCGGCCGTAGAGTCTCTCACTTGGACAGTGGCTACAGCTGCTTTGACTCTTCCTAACCACACTCAGTAAGGACTACTCAGCTCAGGGGCCAGCTCCCATCACTCAAATGCTCCTTTCTGCAAAGTCCCCCAGCTAACATGGAGAACTGACCTCACCCCATCATTTTCAACATGTAATGCCAAGGATCACAACTCAGCTCCTTGCTCCAAATCTGCACGATTTTATAACCTGAATCTTAGGTTTACATTTTTTCAGTGTTTGTACCCCTGTATTTGTATCCTTAATAAGTATCTCTAAATCTGGGCTTTTATTTGTAGGTTTTTAAAAAGAAGGGATATGTGTTAAATGCCAGTAACCAAAAAAGTGCTCTAAAATACTTTCTCCTCACCACAGCATGCAGTTACAGCCAGGAAAGGGTCTGGAATTAGCTAAGGATAAGACACTCTTGACAAAACGGTGAAAGTAACTCACAACCAGTGTCAGTAGGCCTCAGGCTTCCAGTCATCAGGTGGAAAGCATGTGATTTCCTAAATCATATAGGTATCTGAGGCGCTTTATTCTGTATATAAATACAAAGCAGGGTTTCTCAGCCTCAGCACTTCTGACATTTGGGGCTGGAAAATGCCTTGTGGTGAGGGCTGCCCTATATGTAGAAGTGTAGCAGCACCTCTAACCTAGAGGCCACTGGCACCCCACATTCCAGTTCAACAATAAAAAATGTCTCCAGGTGGAGCGAGGTGGCTCACGCCTGTAATTCCAGCATTGGGAGGACAAGGCAGGTGGATCACTTGACTCCAGGTGTTCCAGGCCAGCCTCACCAACATGGCGAAACCCCATCTCTACAAAAAATTAGCCAGGAATGGTGGCACGTGCCTACAGTCCCAGCTACTGGGGAGGCTGAGGTAGGAGGATCGCTTGAGCCCGAAGGCCGAGGCTGCAGTGAGCCATCATCACGCCACTACACTCCAGCCTGGGTGACAGAGCGAGATTCTGTCTCAAAAAAGAAAAAGAACAAAAGTCTGACACAAAATAAAAGAACTGATAGATGTGAACAGGCACATTTTGCTATCCTCAGTTTGATACTTTTGACAGAAAAGTAACCAGTTTGATTTCTAAATCATGATACTTTTTTCAAATATTCAGACTGACTTAATTGTGGGGAAAAAAAAAAATCAACTGTGCAGACATTTGATTACCTGGTAATTTCACATTTGCATGTTCCATGTTTGATAGCGGTTGACTAAATTTTTCAAAAAAAGGAATAATTTCTTTAAAAAGATGGACCTATTAGTGCTCTAAGAATGTTGTTTCTTAAAAAAGGATATTTGATTCATTATAAATGTTATATAAATTGTTTTTATTAGTCATGTAGGAATTTTCTTACTCTTGGGAAGACTTCTGAATTAAGAGTTTACCCTTAGAATGTTCTCTAATTCCTGTGATGTTTAAATGACACCATTTACTACATAGAAGGTGGTATAGTTTCATCCCCTTAGCATTGTCTAAGGCAGTTTATTTCAGGGGGTTATGAAGAGCCTGGCTCTTAAAAATGGCTCCATCTATATGAAGAGAGTACTTTAGTGACTCACAGTCACTGAAAATCTCAACAAATTTTGAAGCAAAGCAGTATTAACTGCTTAGTTAATACTGAAGTAAAAAGACGAGTGAATACAATGAAACATCCAAAGCTCATTCACACCACGCCAGTTATCAGAAGACCTGCCATGATCCTAGACCCTCCAACCTACCAACAGAAGACAGTCCTCTCAGAGCAGGCTACCAGTGTTTGCAAACTAGTAACAGCTCAAATTTGGGAGGCACACAGTGAAAAGTGCTAACTTATAGTTCATTGTCCAGCAAGAGAAAATGACAAATACTTACACCTACTAAAGTCAGCTTAATTTTTAGTCATAAAAGATACACCATTAAGAACTAAGAAGAAAAGTATAACCCTTCCAGGTCTTGAAGAGCCAAACCAACCTTTGACTGCAGGACTGGAGGAGCACACTGTATGAAGAAGTACATTTTGATTTGGCTTTATCAATAGTTTTTAAATTAAGCCGACCTGAAATAAAAGCTATATACATACTATACACCCATTCTTAAGGACATTCTAACGTTTAGAAAAGCAAAGTGATTAATTTCAACTTGAAGACAACAGTCATGTATAATTTTTGACATATTTGAAGTGTTTGGTGGAAAAGAAAATACACTTCTAGTGTAACATTCATGTGCAGTAAGCATGCTATAAAGTGAAAATAATAAATGGAAAACAGTATCACCTGTAGAAATGATATAAGTTTACCAAATCAGACCTAATTCAGGTTGTCACACTGCCCAAAGAAAAGGAAAGTGAGCAAGTAGTTCTTGTGCCCACTTGCCGCATCTCAAGAACGGCAGCCCAGGAGCTGACTCTTGAGTGACTTAGATTGTGCGAAGTCAGGAGGAGGAGCCACATCCCTTCTCAGTCCTGGCAGGGACTGTGGCACTGGCCCTGTTCCTTGTGACTGCTTTCAACTGCAAATGAAAGATAACGGTGGCCAAACCATCAAAATGCAGAAAGGTGTCATCACAGGGAATTCAAGTACTTGCAGCCTTATGGAGGTTTCTGTGAGGAACTTTCACTGAGAACAAATTAATATTAATACACAGTACACCTTGAAAACATAAATGTTATAATTTGCTAAGTTAAATGTCAATATTTTGTACTAATATAGAAAAAAATTAACATTCATTTTGTTGAAAAATTTACACAGAGTAACTTTTTGTATTAGATACGCTTTACAGCTTTTAAAATTTCATTGTGATCTTTTGTTTACAAAAAAACTTAGTGATTTCAATAACTCAGGAACAACTGCTGCTTGTATCAACACTGGACACTGATAAAATCAGATATACATATAACCAAATTTCACTGATATTTCTGTAAAAACGGAAACAATAAAATGTACTTTATATTTTCAGTTTAAAAAGGAAAATGTTCAAGTATCCTTAATAAGATGTCAAGTGGAATATTTATGGACTCAATTCCTCTTTCTTCCCACTCTGTGAAACATAAACAGGAAACAGCTCCTCACCTGGATGACTTTATAGAAGTAGGCATACTGTCGAGCTGTGTTTTTATACTGGCTGAAGACATCATGTACAGCTTGTGTGGACTGAAGATACCGAACTTCTTCCTCTTCAAAGTAGAGAGGAGTGTCATATTCACTGGGGAGAGTCTGAATGTAGGGCTGCCAGAAGGAGTTAGGGCTGGCTCGCTCACACAGCAAATGAAAGGCCAGTGCGATGTTTCCCATGGCTTGAAGGATTCGGTCTTGAGAATATAAAGGCCCTGAATTAACCCAGAAGTTAACAGTGTAAGTTCCACAAACTTCTTAAAAACTTCATTTAAATATGCATTTGCAAATTACAGAAAAACTAAAAAGGTCTTCTAACATTTAAAGTCAGGTACAGGCTTTGCACAGTGGCTCCCGTCTGAAATCCTAGAACTTTGGGAGGTCAAGGTGGGTAGGCTGCTTGAGCTCAGAAGTTTGAGACCAGCCTGGGCAATATAGCAAAACTCTGTGTTTACAAAACACATACACACACATATATACAAAAATTAGCCAGGTGTGCTGGCACACACATGTAGTCCCAGCTACTCGGGAGGCTGAGGTAGGAGCATCATTTGAGCCTGGGAGATCAAGGCTGCAGTGAGCCATGATGGTGCCACTGTACTCCAGCCTAGATTATAAAGTGAGATCCTATCTCAAAAAAAAAAAAAAAAAATTAATAATGATTAGAAGTCATGTGCATCTTTTTTATAACATTAAATGAGAAACACTTAATGCATATTTGAGGGAATATTTCACCAGTCGAGAAAACCAAGTATAATCCTTAGTGCCACAAAATGGAATTTTATATATTTTTTCCATTTGTACTTTGTCTTGAACAGTCAGAAATTATTCTCACCCAACACTGAATTTTTAGCAGATTCAACAGTCATTAGTAATTTCCGTGGAACCCATAAGAACAATTCTTCTGCCTAGGGAAAGAAAATAATAGGAGAATCAACAAAACATGGTATAGTCTTCAATCCAACTATATCTACAATCAGAAATCCAATCACACATGAAGCACAACTTAAGGCCGCATATCAGCACTTCAGATAAATATTCAAACATATTTTAAAACGTAAGCATTTATGTTACAGTTAAATGAGCAGAAGCACAGCTTAAAACCCTGTTTCCAACAGAAACACTAAAACCTACATATAGTGAGAAGGAAATAATAATCAAAACAGGGACTTTCAACTTTAACTTGAAGCAAATATAACATTTGGAATAGAGCATAAAGGTGTTTATTTTATTCTTTGCTGCACTTTTAAGTTCTAAAACCAGACCAAAACAAAACAAAATTCCTGCCTCCGAGAAAAACCCTATCTGTCAATGTGAATTACTACTATACTGAGTTTTGAAGCCAGAGTAACATTCCTTCCTCTATATACTTATCTTTAAAGCACAACAGTTAACAGTGGTTTACACCTTTTTCCCCAAAGCATTATCTCATTTTTTGGCAATATAGGATGCTTCCTTTCGCTATGTCCTGTGTATCTACACTGCATAAAACATGCACATGGCGCTCCAACATGTGAGGAAACTGCAAGAGGGCAGTTGTCTGCAAATCAAGAATGCCCTCACCAGAACAGACCACGCCAGCACCTTGATCTTGGACATCCAGTCTCCAAACTGTGAGAAATAAATGTCTGTTGTTTAAGACCTCCTCCCAGCCCTCACCACCCCGCAAAAGCACATAGTGAGGAAAGTCTACAGTTTGGATCTAATGGGCAGCATCTACACAAATGCTGCTTTGAATCTGATACGAGAGAACATGTGGCATCTTGCCTTCACCAATGTCAACTACTGAATTATTTGTATGTGTCTTGTCCCTTACTATATAGATTATAAGCATCATGAAGGAAGAGACTGGTTTTTTTGGAAGCAAGGTACTACTACCATTCATACAGCAGACATTTAACAGGTATCTAATATACCAGCATGTGATTTATCAATATATCAATGAAAGGTTAACTACAACTTAGCCAAAAAATGTTGCTGGAGGTTTGAGGGGGCCCAAGTAACACCCTTTCCTCCACCCAAGTTCTGAAGCAACTGAGAGAGAGAGAATACAACAGATGGTCACCCAAAATATCACCTACTGAATCCCAGAATTAGACAGACTCTCCCACCTAGTTACAGGCAGAGCTGGATCCCCACTGCCCTCCCCACATATGGCCTGCCCCTGCCAAGCTTCCAGGGCGGAGAGCAGAGTGGAATGAATGCATACGGGCAACCAGCTCCCATGGAAAAAAAGAACAAGTTCGGTTCCTTCTCCCAAACTCGGCCAAGAGATTAAGGAGTGCCTCCTCTTGAGAAGAGGCATGACTGAGGGGTGAGGAGAGGCCAGGCATGTCCAGTGACTGCTGCTCCCTTCAAGAGGAAGGAAGAACCAAGAAACAAGAGGGGAGAAAAAGCCCTTCTCCCTCAGCAGGTGGCTGTTTCTCTCTTCTCTCCCTATTGCCACTGGTGTTGCCATTTTAGTAAGTCCCTAGTCCCTTCAGCCTCACAGTCATCCATTCTAGACACTGGTAGGCATCCCCATACCGCCAGTCCTCCACCCACTCACCTCCAGTAAGTCACAAGATCCTGTGTGCTTTCTCTCCAAACCATGAGTCCACCTCCTTGTCTTCAGGTAAATCTCAAAATCCTGTGAGGCATGTTCTACGGCCTCCTACCAGAGGCTCAGAAATGTGAACTAACTTGCCCAGTCACTGGTTAGCAGCTTGGATTCCCAGGAGGATAAGCTGGGAGGAGCGGCTTAGAACAGGAGCCTGAGGCCCTTCCAGGCTGCCTGACTGCCCACAGGGCTCAGAACCAGCACTCCCCGACCACATGTCTACCTCCTCACCCTGCGCCCTCTACAGCACACCACAGTTCAAACACACATAGACCCCTTCAGACCAACATTTTATAAACTCACCTTGATATCTCTTGTTGCTCTCAAACCAAAGCCCTCTTCTTTGAAGTTAACCATTTCAAAACCCTCGACAGAAGCCCCATTTTCAGAGGCCCATTTCATTAGATCAGGAAAGTAATCTTCTCTTTTTCCATCAAAAGTAACGGACAGACCTATATTAATCCACGTTTTAGAAAACAAGAGCTACTTTTAGGACACATATCATTCACACGTCTCTCAGAAAATAAAAACAGGCCATAACTAACACTGGAAATAGTCTTAACACGCCAATCTTGAAATCAAAACTAATCACCAGATGGTCAGAGTACATACCTTATTTAACTGGTGATGGGAAAGGAGAATTAAAATCCTAAACTCCCTGTCAGTTACAGTAAAATATATACTGACACTAGGTAATATAAATATTGGCTATTAGTACTATTAGGTAATATAATGGCAAAGGAAAGAAAGCATCTATTACAATTACTATGATTTACAGAGCAGTTTTCTTCTTAAAAGTCCAACATGCCATCGCTCATATTCACATTTGCTTTAACAAAATTTCCGTTAAAACAAAAATGAGTGGCTCCCATATGTGTGCAAGGAGACATGGGTAAGCCTGATTCGAAGAGAACAGAACTGCAGAGCTCCGAGCCAGAAGGCTGTAAGGCAATTTAAATGAGCTACAGCTATGTGTAGCAACGTAAGTATAACACTAAATGTAACACTGTGGTTTTTGAAAAATCACCTAATATGACACCGTTTAGGTAAATTTTTCAAATATCAATTAAAATGATTACTTTTACGAGGTTATTTACGAAGTAGAAACATTCACAGTGAAGATGAACACCCCACAAGGAGGTAGGGAACGGAAGGGGATGAATGTGCGAGGTTTTAGCTGTATCTGTGATGTCTTATTTGTTAAAAACAAACACAAAAACAAAACCAAGGACTGAGGAAGGAAAAGGAAACCTGACCAGTGAATGAGAAAAAAAGAAAGGACAATGTGAATACACTGTGACATGTGCTCAGCTGGGGTAGTTGATTCTTGGGAATCTATTATATTAATTTCTGAACTTTTCAGCCTGTCCAAAATATTCAAAAAGACATGCATAGAAAAAACCACTCTGTTTGGATGAATTAAAGGAGAGAAACAGGAACTTTATTCTGAGGAAGCTGGGCGTGGCACATAGCTCGGCCACCCATGGCCATCTGACTACAGCATTGTCAACGGTCAACCTGATTTGTAAAGAGCGCATGCTGGGCACGCAAAGACACCGGCTAAACAGTGAAAATAACCAGAATGATGACTATTCGAAGACGAACTTCCTCTTTGCTCCTTGAGAACTGGCAAACGCTCGACCCTCAGTGTCAGCTGGAGTAAATAATATCTACACAGAAGAGAAACTAAGGTGCTACAAAAATTGTTTGGCTACCCACTTGGTGACAAAGGATTAGCACAGACTCCTATTTAGTGCAAATAAACCCACTATGAAGGAACCTGTTTGAAAACACCCATTATGAACTCACCCTTTTGGAGTTTGAGACCATCTAAGCTGAAGACCACATGTTTATAGATGTGTATGGCAGAGCAGTAAAACTACTACCTTAGAGAGCAAACAAGAAACAAACCCCTCCTGACACCCTTCATGACAGTAAGAAAGGGAGCCTCAGAAGACTGCCCCACAGTCCAATGCATGCTCCTTAGGAGGTTTCCTGCTTCTGCCTTCCACGTTGTCCTGCATAATAATCTTAACTTTCTGTGCTTCAGAGACCAAAAACAATAGGTATACTGATGAGCTTTTTCAAACTCACACTTAGCCCCATGCCAGCCTGGATGAGAAACATTACAATGGCTACTGCATACGCCCTGGAAAAACACAGCTTAAGGAATATGACCACACCTCCTATTTAACTGAGATGTGTGTGAGTTCATCATAAACCTTGCTAATGCATTAACCAATCAGCATTTGGGTGTTGAGCATATACACTATTATGTACTGTCCTGAAACTCAGAAGGAAATAACAGTATAAAAACCAGATTTAAATAAATACTGTATAAAATAAATAAATAAATACCACTGTGTCATTTTAGCCCCCAGAGACAAATATTTTATTCTCCTAAGCTCAACATTCTCACCCTTTCTGAAGCAGGGACAGCAGCTCAGAAAGAAGAGAAATCTTAACTGCTCTCTCTCCCGGTCTGCAAATCCCACTACAAGACCTTTCAGAGTGACACCAACGATGCTGAGAATCTTACTACTCATCAACCCTCTGGCCTAACCAAGTTTCTACACTGACATTATTAAACTATGGTTATCATTCTAGCAATTTTACCTTTTTGCTTTTTCCGTATTTTCTCAACTAGAGTCCGGATCTGCACATACTCTTCCCACTCCTTTCCTGGGCCAGGCGCAGGACTGCTGCATTCTGTAACGTAAAGAGGCATGGTACTGAAACACTTCTTTCAACTTAACCTACTAGTCTGCAGAAGAAAGAAGATTTAGACTTTGTTGTTGCTGGTCTGATTGGTTTATTTTTAAAAGACAGACATACAACAGCCATGATAATGAATGTGAGAAGTACAAGCAGGTACCCTTCCCAAAGCAGACAAACCCTGGAAAATCATAAAAACACCCCTCACTTAATGTACCCAAGAGAGGGCACTGAGCAAACACCTAGCTCACATCCAACTTATTCTTAGTCAACTTTTTTAAGAATATACTAACAGGAAAACCTATAATAAAAAGCTAAGCTAAAATGCAAACTATCCCCCCAAAACTCTTCTATATGGCAAAGAAAGTTAATAGTAAAAGTCAACCTTTCTTTTTAGTTAAACCCCATAACATTGATTCCCTAAGGAAACCAGTTAAATTGGACATAAGGACAATTAGTCGACAAACATTTCACATCCATGTGTATGGCACTATATTCAGCACTCTGGGGGAGTTGCAAAATGAGATGGCACAGTCACTGCTAAAAAAGAAGCTAAGATTCCACTGTGGGGCCAGAAGCAAAAGACCAACACCCGAGACTGAGGTGTGGGTTTGCAAGGCTGCACACTGGGCACCCCGCCTACTGGCAGCTCTTTCTTTTCACACAACTGCACTGCTTTAGAGAGCCCCTTCCCATGCCCCTGCTAAACCTTTGGGCCCATTTGCTCTCTATTAAAAGAGCATATGTGGCAAATAACAATAACTAGATACACGCCAAGTCTTAACTATGCAGTGCAGCCAGTCTCACTTCATTTTCCAATGATAAGCACTGACTGAGACCCAGAACAGGCTTCAGAGGTAAAGCAGCAGCGAGCCTGCCCTCAAGCTGCCCATAGGCAGGGGAGTTTAGCGAGGAATGGTAAGGACAGCCATGCTCCACCAGCCCACAGGGTCTAGGGGAGCACTCGGGAGGGACCTGACTCCAGCTTGGCTGCAGCCTGCTTTCTGTCTTGAAGGGACAGCTGCATTTTTACTTGAGGTTTAGCCTGCCACATAACCTAAACATGGGCTAAGGGAAACGGAGCGACCCCAGCTACATCCGACGCACTAACTGCGCCAATTCAAATTCATAATTTTAAAAAGTTACCAAATTACACTAACTTACTAAAACAAGTACAGGCACTTAATAGATATTTCATTTCCTTAAACCAAGAACTCTCAAACTACAGCATGTAAAAATCAAAACAAAGCCAGGTGCAACGGCTCACGCCTGTAATCCCAACACTTTGGTAGGTAGAGGTGGGAGTATCTCTTGAGCCCAAGAATTCAAGATCAGCCTGGGCAACAAGGCAAAACCTCATCTCTACAAAAAAAAAAAAAAAATTTGCCAGGTGTAGTGACCCAGGCCTGTAGTACCAGCTACTCAAGAGGCTGAAATGAGCCCAGGAGGTCCAGGCTGCAGTGAGCTGTGATTGTGCCACAGCAATTCCAGCCTGGGCAAGACAGCAGGACTTTATCTAAAAAAGAAAAAAAAATCAGAAGCACTATCATCGGAATCATCAAAAAGAAAGGTGAGCCATCCCAGTGAGGCAGAGCTCTGAAGGCTGGCTCTCCAAGAGGCACGCTGGACTTACCTGGGGCTAACAGCCCGTGAAGCACCTTCACGCACCACATCTCACAAGGTCCTTGGCTTGCTCCCTGAGACAGTTATTATCTATGTTTACCAATGAGAACACTGAGTTTCATAAGGGGTCAGTGATCTGTCAAGGGGCACACTGTGAAAAAGCAACAGCGCCTGTTCTTGCCCACGGGTCCCCAAGGTTCCAGGTGGCTGCGCTATGAAAGCTCATATCTGTTATTTCATCTGAGTGTCGTTAACAGCCACATGGTTCCGACAGGCATTTCCATCCTCACAGATGGGGACTGCAAGTCTGGGAAGCTCTGTGACTCGCCCAGGCCCACAGCTAATAAGCTCAGACCTGAATACCAGCTTGTTTGATGCATGCTTCCCCATCCTGTGACAAAGAAGTAAAAGGCACAGCCACTGCATCCAGGCGAGGAGAGCCCAGAGGAGGACTTACTCTGCAACAGTTCACTGGTCAGGTTCAAGATTTCCTTCGGTGACACAGTTGCTGTAGCACCAGTGCCGGATTTCTGAGTTTTTACTCGACTCTTCTTACCCATTTTCTGACTACGGAGAAGAGAAAGAAAAAAGAAAAAATTACATTACCAAAGAACAAAATCAAGTAATAAAACATGTCTAATACACGGCAGGGTTAGTCTTCAGAAGCTAACTAAGATCCTGCCTTACGTATGCTATACCCTGAAGTTTTCTTCCAGAAAAATAAATGTGTAATATTAGTATTTAGTGGTTGTCAAATGGGGAAAAAAAAAAAAAAAAAAAAAAAAAACCTGCTTTGTAGTCTCTGGAAGAAAAGTTCATTCTTTTTCACCTACAGAAACTACAGTAGAAGCAAATTTTACTCTAGATTTTTTTTTTTTTCCCGAGTCGGAGTTTCGCTCTTGTTACCCAGGCTGGAGTACAATGGCGCAATCTCGGCTCACCGCAACCTCCGCCTCCTGGGTTCGGGCAATTTTCCTGCCTCAGCCTCCAGAGTAGCTGGGATTACACGCACGCGCCACCATGCCCAGCTAATTTTTTGTATTTTTAGTAGAGACGGGGTTTCACCATGTTGACCAGGATGGTCTCGATCTCTTGACCTCATGATCCACCCGCCTCGGCCTCCCAAAGTGCTGGGATTACAGGCGTGAGCCACCACGCCCGGCCTAGATTTTTTTTATTATATAGATTTCATTGTGCATACTAACACATTCCAGGGTACTAGAGAGATATACTAGATCATGTATGCATCACATATACATGAGCATAAAGACCCATGTATTCTCTCCCCACTTTGCCTTAAAACAATCATTTCCCATTAACTGTAACTGTATCATAGGCAACTGATTACACTTTCTGGACAAATGCTGAAGATGTTTGACAGCTGGAAGAAACTGGTGAGCTAGTCTAACTCCTACATTTTGTTCCGCGGGAAATCCCAAGTGCCTTGCCTGGGATTTCACGGGAAACTAATGGCAGACCTGAGACTTGAACCAGAGCTCCCATCGCCTTCCGGTGTGCCACACAATGGGTCCTCCATTTGTGGGCACGTGAGAAATGAGGAACATATTCTCACAGGCAGATGAGACCATGTAGCACAGACACATCATGGTGTCCTGGGTAAAGACCCCTATGAGATAATGCTTGCTTCAAAGTGTTTTTAACACAGTAGGTCTCAAAGAAAGCAAGGGACATGGATGTGTGAAGAGCAAGCGGGGTGAGGGAGGCACAGTGAGGAAGGGAAGCCAGCTGGAGAGGGGTCTCTGGGAAGCCTAGCGAGGCAGCCACCCAAAAGAGGGTTAGAGTCACTGCCTGAGGAGTCTGAGGCTAAGACGATGACCCAGGAGTGTCCAGCCAAGAAGCTGGTAGAGCGATCCATAATCTAATGAATAACAACCAGCACGAGGATGGCCTCCAGGAGCCCTGACCGGTCAGTTACACTTCATCTCAAGTGAGAATTAAAAAGTAGACTTTGACCCATTTGTTTTTCACAAAAAGAAGTAACTATGATCATGTGAAGAACTATGCTAGGACAAAGGTTTAAAACATTCTCTCCCACTATACAGATGATCACTGATTCTTTTGTAAATGAATCCATGCATATATGGGGAAAATAGTAGGAAATCACATTATTTAACAGGCTAACGTGTATCTCCTCTTATGCACCTAATATATAAAAACTAATGTGTAACACATTAATATAATAAGTCTTCTAAAAATCAGTGTAAAATATACAGTGTCAGTCATCCTGGAATAAAAGGAAACCGGTGAAAAGACGTAAAACTTTTGCAGCAATAAAAGGAATTTTTTTTCCCATGATCGAAAGCAGAAAATTTAAGTGAGAGGAGGGCAGGATGACAGACCGCTTAAGCTCCTTTTCCTACACTTAAGGACTATCTTCTTAGAAGAGAAAAAAGCTCCCCATGGTTCTGGCTGACAGCCAAGAGCAAGGGCACAGCCTGGAGAGAGCACCTCCACCCTTCTGGGCATTTCAGGCCTCCCACATCTGCCGAGGGCATATCTGGAGGACCACGGAACTTAACCTGAAAATGACTAAAACCACCAAGGAGTCTGGCAATAAGGACGTTAATCACACTTCCAAATATAGCGGGTCTGCTGGCTTGACAGGAGGAGACACAGAAGCATCCTGTCAGCAATGGCTTAGCTGGCCTCTCCCATCAGTCCTGCCTGAAAGGCCTTCTGCTGTGGGAGCCTGTAAATGAGGCAAGAACTCTGATGAGGAACTCCAAGACCCTTCTTTCCCTTCTCTTAACAGTGAGCCTGGGACGGTGGGGCTGCTCCGCACCAGCCCTCACGGGGGTGCCACCAACAGCTACAAAACAGGCTCTACTGGCTCTGGCAGCCCCTCACCTCCCCCAAAGTCTTCCCTCAGCAATCCACCCAACTCCAGTTGCTCACTGATATAACAGCAGCTGTTCCCTGGAGCTCAGTATTTACCCTCTGCCAGGTGCTGGGCTAAGACACAGCTCTCCATTTGATCTTCCTAAACACTTTAGGCTGTAGATATTATCCTTATCTTTCAGATAACATTCTCAAAAAGGTTAAGTCCCTTCCCTTTGTCTAAGGTCATAGATCAGGTAAGAGGCAGAGCTAGAATCTGAACCCAGAACCACTACCACATTGCCTCTGTTTAAACAGATTAAAAAAAAACAAAACTATATGGCAGCAGGGGGTCTTCCAGATCAAATACCATGGAATATGGAGCACAGCCCTCCACACTCCCACCAGCAGCTGCTCAGCCCACACCTGGGCAGCTCCAGCCACTTCCTCCTGCATCTCCTGAATTCATCCTCATGGTTAGACCCTAACGCTAGTCTCATACATCTCCCTGCCCAAGCCCGTCCCTGCTGCTTAAATCTACCCTCACACTGCCACCACCCTCCCACAAACAACACCAAGGCTCCCAAACCCTCTACAGACATAATCATGTACCTCCTATCTCTCTGCCTCCCCATCTGCCTCTTGACTGTAGTATTTTAGTCACTTATTCACAAACTCTTGGTTTTCTCTAAAAATGCTGCCCAGGAATCCCCTTAAAGCCTACCTGGTCCCCCCAGTCACAATCTTCTCTTCTCTGCACTCCTGCAATTCCTTGTATGTTCTCCCAATATTGAAGGGCCCCATTGTACTAAAAGATTTGCTCACATACCAGCTTCCCTTCAGATAACAGGTTCCTTGAGGACATCTTCTCTGTCTTGTTTCTATTTGTAACCCCAACATACAGTCCCAGGCCTCAGCACATAGCAGGTGCTACACAGAGGATGCCACTCTGAACTCCCAGGGAAAGCACCTGCACAGGTCTAAGGTCAGGTTACAATCTCCATTTCTGAAGCTTCTACCCAAGTTTCTGCCCCCTGGAACAGACAGGAAATGTCTAGTTCCTGCTCCTTGTGAGAGAAGACCATTAAAAATATGGCTACAATGATTTGAAAACACAATACATTCCGTTTACAGTCTACAGTCGGGTACTTATAACTCCAATTTTTCTCAAGATTTCTTTTTTAAGCCAGAAAACTGCCGGCTTTTAGAAAAGAGTAATAGGTATATAAATACAGCAGAGGTATAACTTCAAAAAACACCAATAAATTAACCCCTGGGAGGGGAGATATGCTAGAATGCATCTTCAAAGGTCCTGTAGGATGATGTTTATGAAGTCACTGAAGCCACTGCTAGCTAAGACCCTCATCTCCATCTCTTTCAATCCGTTCCTGATTCATTCCCTCCCTACGAGTCCTCCCCCACCACAATGTCAACCGTTAGCTTTAATAAACTGAGGTATAAAATACAAGCTGCACAGGCTTAGCGCGGTGGCTCACGCCTGTAATCCCAACACTTTAGGAGGCCGAGGCAGGTGGACTGCTTGAGCCCAGGACTTTGAGACCAACCTCAACTTTGAGACCAACCTCGGCAACATGGTGAAACCTTGTCTCTACAAAAAAAATACAAAAATTAGCTGGGTGTGGTAGCCCAAGCCTGTAATCCCCAGATACTCAGGAGGCTCAGATGGGAGAATCCCTTGAACCCAGGAGGCGGAGGTTGCAATGAGCTGTGACTGAGTCACCACACTCCAGCCTAGGCGACTGAGGAAGACCCTGACTCAAAAAAAAAACTATAAATCATATAGTACACGAATTCATGGACTCATCCTCATTCATGCAAGGTCCCACCCTTGCAGAAGGTAGCAAACATAACAGTCGTCACCAGCAGTCCTGATGAGCCCTATTGCAACCAGTCCATCCCCCAGTAGCCCACATTTTGACTTCTATCTCCTTGATTAGTTCTCCCTATTCTTAAACTTCATAGAAGTGGAATTACACACTTTGTAGGTTTCGTTTGCTCACATGTGTTTCCACAGTTCATAGGATAATGCCTAACCTTCCGGCAAGGTCTTCGAGGACTGAACCGCCTCACCCCATTTTACGTGTCTGATTTCATCCTACCTTTACACAACACAGCTACAGGAGACTGACTGTTCCTCTTCCTTTATCTGGAATGCAGCTATCTCACTGCCGGTCCCCTTGTCTTCTCCTGGCAAGATTTTTCACATACTTTGAGGCTCTACCAAAATGTCCCCCATGGCCTCGAGGGAAACTCTAAACTCCTCCATGCAACCCTCACGCCCAACGAAGTCAGTAAGAAAGAGCCAAACTCAAGGTTATTACAGATGCTAAAGGCTTGGCTTATCTTGGGATTCTGTCTTTGGCAGCCTCTTCGGACTGTTTCCCTTCCGCAGGGATACAGCTGCAAGGGAGAAAAAGTGGCTAGCCTAGGTGAGGCAGAAAGAATCTTTGTCTTGCCGGGCGCAGTGGCTCACGTCTGTAATCCCAGCACTTTGGGAGGCCGAGGTGGGTGGATCACGAGGTCAAGAGATCGAGACCATCCTGGTCAACATGGTGAAACCCCATCTCTACTAAAAATATAAAAAATTAGCTGGGCATGGTGGCGTGTGCCTGCAATCCCAGCTACTCAGGAGGCCGAGGCAGAAGAATTGCCTGAACCAGGAGGTGGAGGTTGCGGTGAGCCGAGATCGCGCCATTGCACTCCAGCAC